ACACACAGACGGCCTCTTCCCAATATGCGTTTTTGCAATTTGCATATATGCAAAAACGCATAAAAAAACGAATTTTTCAAAATTTCCATCCTGAATTTATTTAAAGGAATTTTCATTAGTTTATCTGCGTACAGTGCGGGCCGGCACTTTTCGAATAAGCTTGTGGATTTGAAAATTTTTCAGTGCTACAGCCGGTGAAGCCTTTTTTAATTGGTTTCTGAGTACTATTTAAGACAAATTTATCTTCCACAGAATGAAATTTTTTCAGCAACTATACCCATTTGGCTGATTCATCAACAAGTCGCTCGGAGCACGACCGAACACTTCTATACAATCCACTGCGCAATGGCAGAGAGTCCTGTCTGCCTTTGCCACCCGTCAACCAAGCATCCCGGTCTTCTCTATCACACAGCGGCCAAGTAATTTGGCTTCCTGTGCTATCGCATGAAAGGATCCCTGAACATGTAAGATATCCAGTCAAATGTGCATTATGTAGCGGAGTTTATGAACGATATTATATGCCGGCTCACGAGCGCACTCACACCGGCGAGCAGCCTTTCCAGTGTCCGATCTGTCCTAGACGTTTCTCAATGAAAGGTGGCATGAAAAAACATGTGGTAAAAGTGCATAAGATCACGAATCCATACCAGCTGGAAATTCTGATCGAGCAAGCCATTATGGAATTCCAGCATCCATAAATCCAGTGAATTATCTAGATCCTTTCGTTGAAATTGTCTTTATTTTTCGTAGAGAATAGAGACATGTCTAGCGCCAAAATTCCCTTCGTATTTACTTTATAAGAAAAGCGCTCCGGAAGTAATTTGAGTAGTAGCAACCATTCGCAGGTATGCCATTAAAGGTGTTACTGTTGCTTTTTTGGTAATTTATGATAAATTTTTGTTTTTTATGAGGGATTATGGTAATTTAGTGAAATCAGCGTTTTCCAATCATTTTTTACGATTTTTGTGATCATGGTTTTCTAATTAATAAAACACCTTTTCCAATCTTCTTTGCCGTCTTTCCATTTCGAGTAGAACGTGAGGGAGGGTAAGTAATTCTCGAAACAATTTTACTTCTGTCAGCTACATTTCGCACTGTCATCCTTACACTAAACGGCTGGCAAAATTCTGATTAGCTTGATCAATGCTGCAATGCAAATAAAATATTTTTCAAAACGCACCTCTTGAAAAAATAGCTATCAATACATTTCACCTCAAAGTTAGAAGTCAAAACTTCCTCTGTAATCGTGTTTGCTGTTAAAGCTGTCATGAATGCTCCCGTTTCTTCACTTTTTCTCAAGGAAATGTCTTTCAAATAGAATTCTGCTGGAATGATGGTGAAACAGAAGAAAAGGTGTAATGCAAATATGGATAATCCGATATCGAAATTAAACATATACTGGCAACGCACTGCAGTATTTTAGGAGCGGAAGTTAGTAAAAATTATGCAGGATTAAGTGGAAAGAGGTAGCATCGGAATCCAGAGGGAAATGTTGATGGTAATAGGCATTATTCCACAGTACCTCAAAGAAGCGGTTTTACAAATCGTTGCATTATTTCTTTGTTTAAAAGCAGTGCTGAAAATGTAAATTTTTCAAGAGAGAATGGTTTTCTCGAAAATTGTATTGGCGTAATGTATGTGAATGTCATGCTCTTAACGTGTGGGAGCACCCCAGCAGCACTATTGATAGGGGATAGCTAGAACGACTATCCGGGCACCTTGATATTTATTAATGTCTTCACCGCTGTAAAACTTCTTTGTTACGTGAAATGACTAAAATGAGTTGTATTAGTTAGTTAAAATCACAAAGCTCACAAGATGAGTGGGCACGGAACAGCTGTACAGCCTGTGGAAGCAGACCACTAACAGCACCAACACGGAATATCCACGTTGTTTGCCCGAGCAGTCTTAGTGATCCAAGTGACTTCGTGAATGTGTTGAATTTCCTGCGCTCTTCTATTAAGTTTTCTGTAGTATAAACGACCTGGGTAAATATGTCGAATGGTGTTGCAGAAAACATCGATATGGTTTCTTAGGGATGATAAATTTTGCTAAAAAAGTGAAAGTTGGCAAATTTGATGAAATATAGAAGGCTGGAGGAGGAAAAGCAAACAGCAATACAACTATTGCTAATTTCAGTCTATTTGCCTGAAGTTATTTGCGGGATCAGTATTTCAAAAATATTAATTTGTATCTCTCTTGGATTGCTTGACTTGACAAATTTGCCAGAAGCAAGAGGGGGGTAAAAAAAAGATTTAATATTCATAATTTATTATTAAGTGAACTGATTTATTCCAAATAATTAAAGTGTACATTGTTACGCTCTCAAAACTCGTAACCGATAAGCTCCAAGTTCAGTGGAGTCAGAGGTACTTCAGCAGTCATTATCTTCTGGCTAACTGGCGATAAAGCATGATTTCTTTCAAAGTTCTCTGGAGCTATTCGGGATTTGTCTGTTACTTTCCACTCTTGAAACTCAAAATCAAGTATGTTTTACAGTTAAATTTGTTAAACAAACACTGGGGTTTCGTCGCTGCGACGCGCATCTCGTGCGTGCAGTTACAGCTGCATCCCAAGATCAATCCTCAAATTCCGCTGGCAAAAACAAAAGTGGAACTTAAGATTTTTTGAAAACACAGCTCACGATGTAAGTGCCAATAAGCATAAGCCCTGGGAAATAGCACTGCTGTCGAGCAAAAGACCTTAGCTATTCGCGAGTTCTTCCACCTTATACAGAGAACGAAGACCGAACTCGGCAGGGGGATGGTATAGAGATGACAATTTGTAACGTTTCAAACAGTGCTGCCGCAAGCACATTCAAACAGTATTCGATGGAAGACGAATTTCATCATCGATGAGGTGAATAATTTGCGCATAGTTAATTCTAAAGAATGCTAAATTCAGCTAAGAAAAACCCACGCTGAAACGCACCGGGCGGGCCCGTGCGATCATGCGTTCCTGCACAGGACTTGAAGTACTCAGGTCATTAACTGTATGAATGGTTGTTGCTTTACACCTAACTTTTGCGATCACTTGCATAAATCACCATAAATTGCATAAAGTAGATGTACAATTTCCATTTAACG